AAAGAAACTCTTTGCAATTTTGAATAATTTAAATACCATTGCAGTACTTTGACTTAGAAGATTTCTTTGCCTAGATTTTGGCAATCTGTGAAGCAAGGGCTTACAAAAAGAAATTAACTCTCAGTAAAAATATTGGACTTGAGGAAGATCCATGGTCATTATTTGATATCAAATAACTTGAAAGTATTTATTTCTAGTGAATTTTTCCATTTTGTTTAAATGAATGGAGAACTGATTTTGTTGAATTATAGACCATGCAACATTTAAAGAGTCTTAGGGAAAATGTAAATATACATATGTTCATATTTGTATATATGTATATACATACATATATAAATGTAGTGTGGTATATATACATATACATATATATTTAAATGGAGTGTCATATATAAAGTATGCATAGTATAATATATGTGATATTGTACACATTTCATTGTATTTATTATTGTATATAATGTAATATACTACAATATTTATTTATAATACATGTAAGATATAAATTCATATATATCAAATTAGGAAATAAAAAAATTTGTTTTTAGGGACACTGGAGAATGCTTTGGGAAAATGATAATTTGTCAGGGAGAAGTTGGATTCCATAAATTAGAGATGCAAGTAGCTCTTAGGAATCCTCAAATGAGAATAGAGTTGCTCTACTTCCCTTTTTTTTTTTTTAACCTCCAGTACAGCTTAAGGAGTGATGCTTCAGTTCAAATCAAGTTCAACAAGTATTTATTGAATGTCTACTTCTGAGCAAGGCACTATTCTGAATGACAGTGCATCAAGTGAATGATATAGCACGTCTATTTTCCAACTTATTGATCCAGTGACTAGAATCAAGCTGACAATTATTTTTTTTTCATTTGACACATTTTGACATGTGCTCTCTTCAGTGACTACAATATTTTTGGTCTTGTGATTTTTTATATAAGGACTCATGCTTTTATGAGTTTAGACACTCCCACTAATGGATTGCCACCCCTTAAAAGCTTCCATTGCCAAGAAAAATGTTCTATCCTATAGCCAGCTTTCTGGTAATGTCTCTGTCTGTGCTTAGCTAACTGGTCCACAGATCAGACGATATATCCTGGTGTCCTGACCAGCATTCTAGGTTGGTAGAACTTACCATAATTTTCACTCTATTGATATATCCTTTGATATAACCCAAGATGAACTCCATGCCACAATCAGGCATCCATCAAAATAGGTTCTTATTGGAAGTGATCTTATTTTTGAAATAATACTCAGCCAGCTTGAATGCAGAATAAGCCACATAGTTCCTTTTACTTGCTGGTTCATTTTAATATTCCTACCTTGAATTTTTAGCTTTATGAAGATAAGAATGTCCTATTTAACCTTGTTCACAGAGATCTTGGATATATTCATATAAATGTTTATTTTTGTTTTAATTTTGTTCACAGAGATCTTGGATATATTCATATAGATGCTTCAGGAATCTTAAGATAATGTTACTGAACACGAATTAAATCTTTTTTTTTCAGTTTTTCTCTTCTCTTTTTAAAAAAATGAGTTGAAAAGTCCAAAAGAAAATTCAAACGTCTTTTTTAGTTTCTTTTCCCCCTGCAACCTGTTTTTTAAATTAAAAATTACCTTCTAGGTACAAATCAAAGTTACATAGAAGGATCAATGAACTAACAATTAGATTTAGTCTCAGGTGGAAAACGTATTCTCTTGGTATCCTTTTGTGCATGCAATAAATACTGGTATCATACTTCTGCTTTGACATAAAACCCATTCTAATTGAAAAGTATTATGAGCTAGAACTTTTATGTCTCCTTCAGTTCTCCAGGCATTCTTCCCTAATTCTTGCAAAAATCCAAAGATGCATGTGTGTATGTGAAAGTATGTCAAGTAATGTGTGTATGTGAAAAAGATTTAGGTTGATTAATTTTGTTTGGTAATGCAAATCAAAAATTCTTCGAATTTTTTTTTGCCAATTATCTTCCTTTGTAAATTATGTCTCTGAGCTATTTGTCTTTATTATGATATCTGTGTGAAGTTGCCTGGAAATCTTCACTGCAGAATTTGTTCTTGAAGCTTTTAGGGAGGACAGAATAGGTAACCCATTTTGAATAGTTTCTGTTTTATAAAGAAGAGTAAAACTTTAAAGAAACAGAGGGGTGAAATCCATTGATAGTTACCTCATAGGAAAAGAAAAGTCATTCAAAATGTTGAATTGGTACTCCCAGAGAGAGGTGGGAAGGGAGTTAGTAGGTGAGGAAAATGAAAGCAAGAATATCGTTGTTTGGAGAAAGATGCAGTGGCAAATAGTATCTTGTTCTGCCAAAAAAAGAAAAAAGAAAGAAAGAAAAGAAAAAGAAAAATAAATTCAAGGAATATGAAGAGTGGGAAAAGACTGTTTAATGTGAAAATTACTGAGTACCTGGCCTTCAAGGGAATAGTTTCACTATAGTGGTAGAAGGAGAAAGTAGAGAAGTGAGGGAGTGGAGAGAAACTAGGGGAAATAAATATGAAGTCCACTTTCAAGAAAAAGTTTGGCAATGTAAATGAGAGAGACTATGGTAATTTAAGAGAGAAGAAGGACCAATTGGAGTTGGATTTGATTGTTGTTGTTTGTTTGTTGTTAAAATAAGGGGACTTGGGTTTGTCTATAGGAAGAAGGGAGGGACCAGTGTAGAAAGACATATTAAAGATACAGGAGAGAAAAGTGATCATTATGAGGTTTAGGGAGGAAATTTGAAGGAAAAGGTCATTACTTGATATTTAATGCTGAAAATGTTGTAGATGTGGCCATGTCAGTAGTTTCCTAAAGTAAGGAAGTGGGGATGGAGGTTATAGAAATTAAGGAAGTTGAAGAACTTAGAAAAATGGTATAGATATTAAAGCCCCCAGGGATGGAAATGAGAGATTGTCTAGAGAATAAAACTGTGGAGTATATCCTGAAATCATAAGAAAAAGAGTGTCCTCATAATAATAAATGATTACAACAAAGATATGGAGAAGCTGGCCTCACTGTTGAAGGCAACATCATCTTCTTCATCTTTTAGGTTCACAATCTTGGTGTTGTCCTCACATCCGTATTCTCACTTCGCATTTCAGAAGTTACCACATCTTGTCTTTTCTGTCTCTACAATATCTAGTGAAGTCTCTTATTACTTTTTTCCCTGGGCTGTTGTAATGACCTCCTAAGTGGTCTCCCCACCTCAAGTCCTTCCCCACTTCATTCTTATCCTCTACACAGCTACCAAAATGGTTTTCCTATCATGTTACTTCCTCATTTTCTCCAACACCTGTTAAACTCTCGCAGCAACTTATTATCTCTAGGATCAAATATCAGTTACAACATTAGACATTTAAAACTGCTTATAACCTGGCTTTTTCCTCTCTTCTCTTCTTCATACATCTTCCTTCCTTTCCTTCCTTCCCTCCCTCTTCCTTCCTTCCTTCCTTCCTTCCTTCCTTCCTTCCTTCCTTCCTCTGTCCACAAAGGGTACCATACTCTTCCCCATAGGTGCTATGCCCAAGGGAATGTAAATTTTGATCCCTGAAACTTCACAAGATATCTTGGGGTTTATGGACTAGATTTCTTTCTTAGGAATCTCTCCTTAAACCCAAATCACTCTGTTTATCATTGATTGCCCAACAATAAGTCCCAGCCCAAGCCCTACTTGGTGATTGTTTGGGACTGACTGGCTCAGAGTGAATGTAAATACCAATTGTTTTTGTTTGGGCCAGAAACCCTAAGAGTCTTCCCCTCCCAGATTGGCTTTTTTTTTTTAAACTAGGTAAAAGAAGTCATTCTTTGCCTCATTTCTTATCTAGTCTTAGTCACTGAATAGGCATTACCTCAAGCAAGCTGAGACCTGAGAAAGACCTTAACTTAAAAAAGCCAAGGTTTCCCACTGCATCCAGGACCATCTCTAGTCATCCTGATCTATATCTTGCCACCAGACCTAGATGGCTTCAGAGGAGAGAGTGAGGATAGTGACTTTGCACAGCCCTTCCTCACTTAAATCCAATTCACTTGCAAGTCATGGCATCCCCTAGTATGCCATGGTACTTTTCGAGGACGAAGGTCAAACAACAGCAACAATAGTCATACATATTACTCACCCTCACAGATTCTATAGTCCATCCATACTGGCCAGTTGCTCTTACCTCATACCTGGTATTTTATTTCGTGTCCTCATCCCCCCTAACATCTGCTTTTTAGAATCCCCAATTCCTTCAAGATTTATCTCTAGTGCCACCTGCTGTTGGAGACCTTTGTGATCCTTCCCAGTTCCCTGTGCTTTCCCTTCTAAAGTTACCTTTTATCTATTCCATATGTGTCTTGTGAATTACAATATAGGCACATCTTGCCTTCTTAATTTAAATATAAATGTTTTGAAGTTTGGAATTCTTTTCTCCTTTTACTCATATCCCCAAAATTCAGCACAGTAAACACTTACATTTAATAAAAGGGCATGCAGTAAACAACTAATAAAATGTAGAAGATGCTATTTAGTTATAGTAGCAGAGGAATCATTAAGGAATAGTAATGTGAGAAAAGAACAGGGAAGGTAAGGGGTATGCCAACTCTTCTGCCCAACTGAGTATCATAATTTTTGCTAGTAATAATTTACATAATGATATGTGAGAAATGGCATAATTTTGGCAAGGACTTAAGCCCACTTTATAAGTCCTGTGAATTTCAAATCGACCATTTGATGACTTGGGAAGTGAATATCACAGCTTTTCATTTTGAATTCATTTGTTATTTGTGGGAGAAAATGGTTCTTGGGTTCCTGTAATTTTATCCCTCTGTGTAAAATGTACATTCCTACTTATCATTGATATAGTCTTTTAATATTCTTAGAAAAGATGGGCAAATTTTATATAGATCTCTACAAAATATTGTGTGGGAAAAAATAACAGAATAGGTTATAAAAATGGACATAGAACATATTATTAAGCAAGTGATTTTTTCAAAAAAAATTCATTTTTCAAATAATAAAACTTTTTTCTTTCTATTTTAGAGTAATGAAGTTGTCTACTACAATGCAAAAGATGATTTCAATGAGGTAAGTGTTATGTATTTAATAAGAAATTTGTTACAATTTGCAAATAAATTATAATTCTGTTTCCTGGATTTATTTTTATAGGACAAATTGGGAGCAATAATAGCTACTTTCAGCTAGGAGTTTTATTGTATCAGGTATTGTAAGATAATACAAGCAGATACTCATTATTGAGAATACAGCCAAGGGTAGAATTTTATTGTAAATGTAACTTATATGCAATTGTCAATTCAATGAGCAGTCATGACTAGGATTCATGTTCAAGTGATATTGATACAGCCTATATATTTTATAGCATTAAATATCAAGTAATTAAATCCATTCCTTCACAAAAAAATGTACAACTTTTTGTTATACAAAAGGTTTCTGATTTGCCATTACAATATCAGAGACAAAATCATAATCAATGGGGGTGGGGGGAGGCATTTCATAAGATCTTGCTGCGTATCAGACACTGTGGTGAGCTCTAGGGGATAAAAAGAAAGGCAGAAACGGTACCTGCCCCTAAGAAGTTCGCATTACAGCGGGGTGAGGATCATATAAAAACAGGTACAAATAAGGTTGGTTGGTTGTTGTCCTTTGTTGTCAAAGAGAACCAAAATGACATCACTGTGTTTGACTTAAGTTACAATGCATCTGACTGTGGCTGATTAGACCAATACGAGCTCGGAATGCTCTAAGAAGATACATGTAGAGTGGATGAAAAGTAAATTTATAAGGAAAAATTAGGAAAGAAATATTAAATCCAGGGCTCACTAAAATTCTGTTTAGTTAAGATTTCAGAAAAAATAATGGGTTTAGTATTTCTCCAGCTAAATGCATAAGCTCAAAATTGTCACAATCTAGCCCAGTCTATATTATTCTCTTCAGATGATCCATTAAAGTAATTCTTAAACATTTTGGTCTTAGGGCCCCTTTACAAACTTAAAAATTAACAACCCTGAAAAGCTTCTGTTTTGTGGGTTATATCTATTTACTGCAGTAGAAATTATAACTGATATATTTCAAATGAATATATGTGTATATATATATATTTACTAAATCATTTAAAATTAGCCCATTATATGTTAATATAAGTAATATTTTTAAATGATGGTATTTTTCAAAACAAAAAAAAATAGTGAGACGAGTAGCATTGTTTTACATATATTTCCTATCTCTTTAATGTCTAGCTTAATAGAAAACAGCTGGATTTTTATATGTACTTATATATTTAATCTGTTGTGATTTTTTAAAATAAAATATGTGGAGAAAATCTAGCCAGGAAGTTAGAAAATGTAATCATACTTTAACAAGCAAATAACATTTTAGTATTGTTATGAAAATAGTTTTGATCTTGAAGACCCAATTAAAGAGTCTCAGGGATCCCCAGGGACCTTGGACTAGACTTTGAAAACACCTAACTATGGGATTCTTTTTCCGGTAAATTAATAGGAAGGTCAGGCAATGAGGAGTTTATAATAGGTATGATCTAAAATAAAATTATCCATTTTATGGAAGATTAGACCATGTATACTCTAAGATTCCTTCCAACTCTAAGATTTTATGAGTCATGATGGCTGTAATCATCTGAAGAGATCTGATAAATAGTGAAGACCAAACAAACTGATGGTTTTATGTTCCTTATTCAGCATACATTGGCAAGCACCTGTCCAGGCAAAAAGATTGCTGTGGGCTGGAACAAATTCCCACACAGCTGATATAGTGAGTAGAGCATTGTGATCAATACAGGAATTTAATCTGTGCCTTATTCAGAAGAAGGATGATAGTGGTGATGGACAAGAATCTTGTATAACAGCTAAGTGGAACTTGATAAAAATAAATGTACTGCTGCATCACCATTTTAGCTATATTAACCATCCATGTGGAAGGCCACATGATCAATTTCTTTGCTCTAATTGGTATTGATTGTGTACATGGATGAAATTAATGGGTAGTCTTTGCCATGATCCAATTTGACTGTTCTTTATAGAAACAGCCTTAGGATTATCCTTCAATAGCTGCTGCGGAAGAAGAATATGTTTATTTCAGTTCTCTTGATAGCTCTCAAAATCTTCGTCTTGAAAAATCTTCGTCTTGAAAAATCTTCATTTCTTTATATTCGTGGATACTGTTGCCTGTCACTGCTGCACGTACATGGCATTGATCACACAAACAGAAGCCCACATAGTGTGCCTATGTATATGTATACTTATATTTTTGTAAAACATGAGATAATTTACTCATGTCTATCAAAGTATTTTGCAAATGACAATTTACAAGACCATTCTCATGGGATGGTATTCAGTGTACCAAGTCCCATTCTAGTATACCAAGGAATATGAATTCCTTCAACCACCTAAGAAGAAAGACAAAGAAATGGAAGACTCAATTTCCTTTGTTTTAAACTTTCTGTTTATCATTTCTGACAATAATTAGACTGTAGTGTATGAAATGTGTAATTGAGACGTATACTATCAAAAAAGCAGTTTGTACAGTTGCTATCCAGTGACTGCAAATAGGATATCCCCTCAGAAGGGTATACTTAATTTGTGAAAGGTGGAGATTTAGGGGCAGCTAGGTGGTGCAGTGGATAGAGCACTGGCCCTGAAGTCAGGAGGACCTGAGTTCAAATCCAGCCTCAGACGAAACACTTGACACTTACTAGCTGTGTGACCCTGGGCAAGTCACTTAACCCCAATTGCCTTAAAAAAAAAGGTGGAGATTTTTGTATGTTTCTGTTTGGTTCATGCATATTCATGTGGTTATCACTTGAAGGAACTATAAGAAATTGATGTGTGGTAACACCAAAGTGAACTGGAAGTTTTTTGTTGTGCATCTTCAACAATCTTTTCAACCTTGAGAATCATCCTCCATATGTTTTGAACATAGACATTCAGGGTAATTCCATGATAAATATATTAACATGGACTCACTCAAAAGTGGTTGAGGTCTTCTTATTGATGTTGTCATTATGTTATTAATATTAGTAATAATATATTTATTAGGGCTACCAAAAAGAATGTATCTTATGAAAAAATACCATCCATCTACTGGTCCCTTTGACCAGTATAACCTTCAGATGCACACATGCAACTTTGGAGATCTTAAGACATGAGGGAATTTCTTTTTGCCTGCCATAATTTTAAGGCAATTTGAATATTAAAATTGACAAGACAAAATAATTAACAAGAATAAAAAGAATATCATTGTCATGTTAATTGTGAACTATGTTATAGGTCCAGACTCTCCCCCTTAAAAAAAAAAAAGAAAGAAAAGAGTTCGCTATGTTTTTACTGCCTGTAAGCATTGTTATATCACAAAAATTGTACTGTAATTTTTAAACTAGATCATAGCTAATGGTCTCCTTAGAGATGTATTCTTCATTCCCACCACTCAGAAATATTTCTTAAATAATGTCTACTTTATTTTAAAAGATGGGGTGAAATTTTCAAACTTTTTGGAGATATCCCAACTGCCTGTTTTTATTAAAGTTTTAATTTATAAAGCTATGCCAGAGATACTGTAATTATATAAGGCATTTGCACAGATATTCTGTGTTTATATGCTACAATCAAACATTGCATAAAGATTGATCACATCAATACTGTAACTTACATTTTTCCGTAAACTAATGAAGAGATATATAGATCATGCGGAACAGAACAATTTAATTTATTTCATTGATTTTGCATATTAGATGAGAAAACAAAAAAAATTATGTAGGAAATTACTGGATTACTCACTTGTATATTTTCTAGTTTCTTGATATAGAAGTGGATATAATTTTTATTAAGCAAGCCCAATTACACCAGCAAATTTATGCCCTTTAAAATGTGTATGCACACCAGTTACTGGTGAAAAATTGCTATTGAATTCTTCAGTATGAAGGTTTCTTATGCTGACTGGTGATAACCTCTTGATGGTTAAAACCTCAGTCTTTGCACTCAATTCAATTCAACAGGAATTTGCCGAGTATCTAGTATGCCCTAGGAACTATATTAAGTCTTCAGAATACAAAGAAAATAATAATAATAGTAAAAAAAACATGGCCCTGCCCTCAAAACACATATTCTAGTAGGGAGTATTTTGGTGGGGAGAGGACTAATAACTGAAGAGATGAGGGAAGGGCCTTATTTAGGAGGTGGTACCTGAGCTACACTTCTAAGAAGCAGAGGTGATAAGAGGCACCATTCTGGGTACAGGAAACCACCTGTGTAAATGCACCATGGTAGGAAATAGAATGTCTTGTATGCACGTCATAGGTTAAACTAGTTTGGCCTGAAAGGGGAATTTAAAATTAGTCTGGAAGTTTAGGTTGGAGCCAGAATGTGATGGGCTTCAAACTGAATACAGAGTAGTTTGTTTTATCCTGGGGTCTGTGGAGAGTCATTGAAGCTTTTCAATTAGGAGAGTAACATGTGTTTTGGGAATGCCACTTAGATGGCAGAGTGCAAGATGAATTGGAGAGAGGAGCCATCACTTAGGAGGCTATTGATTTCCCTCAGTAGTCTAAGCAAGTCCACTGAAGGCCAACACAAGGATAGTGGCTGTGTGAATGAGAGGAGACAGAATCAAGAGTGGGAAACCGAGTTTGGAAGATTTGAAAACTGGTTTGACGTGGAGGGGGTGGTAAGGAGGGAAAATAAAGAGTTGAGGAAACTTTAGAGTCCAAACCTGGGTACCTGAGAGGTCAATGATTCCCTTTACAGAAATAAGTAAGTTAGGGAAATGGGTGCATTTCATAGGATAGATAGTTTTCTTTTAAGGCACGCCCTGGTTGAACTACCTGGGAGGGAGGTTTCCAGCAGGAAGGTGGTGATATTGCACTGGAGAAGGGAGGGAAATGGGAAGGGAAAAGAGAGAAATAAGCATTTATATAGTGCTCACTATGTACTAGGCACTGTGCTAAGCACTTTTAAAAAATGTTATCTTTTTTGATCCTCATGATAACTCTGCAAAATATGTGCTGTTATTATTTCCAATTTACCGCTGAGGAAAGTGAAGCAAATAGAGGTCAAATG